CTGCATTAAAATGCCAGGCTGATGTTTCATTGTTTTCTTTTTTGTTTTTTCCCCCCATGTCATATTAGTGGTCTGTATGTGTGGCTGTCCTTTACTGCCATAAAATCATTACAGAATGCAGTCACCAAATATAAAACCAGTTATCTGAGTGAACCAGCAGGTGATTAATATACTTTTTCACATATGTACATGTGTGTATGTTGTATGATTAAAAAAAGTTACACGGTGTAAAGTTTGAATCTAAATAAGTAAACTGATGGGTCACATGGATGATTAAGACACAAATGTTACAGTTGAAATACCCACTGCACATACAATTTCTATTTGTATTATTTTTAGCTGTGATATTAAATTCATCATGATATTAAAAAAGGAAAAGGTTTGCTATAATGCTCTTTGTAAACTAAAAGAGAACTTATTTCTACAATAGACGAATGTTGAAAGTGCAGTGTTTTTAAAGTGTTCTTATCAGATAAAATATATTTTAGGTTTCATTTATTAAAACTTACTCTGATTCAGTGTTGACGATAGATCGATATACAGCATTTACATTTGTTGTCCTGCAGCCAATGACGTTCTGTTTTCTTCAGTCCTCCACAACATGCAGAAGTTTATGCTTGGACTGGAAGTAAGCGACTGGCTCTTTTAAAGGTGGGGTAAGCGATTTCTGGTAGCCAATGTTGACATTTGAAATCACCAAAACAAACACGCCCCTACCCCAAAAGTGTCTCGCCCTTATTTTGATAGCTCCACCCCACACATATGTACGCAACCCAGGCAACGGATTAGTTCTGTGAAACAAAGCAAAACTGCTGCTGCGTTCTATTCATGACGTATTGACACACATTTCAAATGATTTTCAACGATCGCTTTGTCGCGTCCAGTGTACTAGACAGACTTTAGCTGTTGCGGCACAGACACGGTGTTACTCACCTATCGAAAAGAAACAAAGCAACCTCGGCATCCGATCGCAGGCCTTCCGCTCCTTGAGTTCTCTCCAGCGCTGGAAAGCTGATCCGATATTTACACGGGTCCTACTTCTTGCCTTAAGCCTTCTTTTGTTCTGCAGACGTTTTCCTCTTTTGTTTTTTATCTGCCATCTCTATCTTTCTGTCGCTTGGCTCGGCTAATGCCCGTCCCGTGCACTGAACGCGCTCTCCTCCACATCCTGAGTAGTTACGCCCCTTACTGCTGATTGGCTACAATTTTGTTTTGCTATTCGGCCCGAATCGGTTTTCTAAAGTGTTTTTGAAAAATCGCTTACCCCACCTTTAATTATTTGGTGAGTTCCTGTGATGGAAGCGGTGAGCTGCTTTAATCATGGAGACTTTGAAATAAAGGTCAGTTAGCAGCGAGAGATTAATTCATCACAAATGCTAAATGTCATCCTCTGATGATGAGCTGTCCATTTGTTTAAATAGTTAATTGCAGTGTTAATATGGCTGCCAACCATCCTGTATGCATAATCACACAAATTCCCCAAGACCAGGGATCTACACAACGTCATAAGACGTTGATATTTGGTTAAATTTCGGTTGTGACGTCGGGTGACCAAAATTCAATGTAAATTGAACGTCTAATGTCAATGTTAAATTGATGTCCAATACCGACGTCAGCTGATGTTGATATGTTGTTGTTTTTAGGTTGTGTAACCAAAATCCAATATTAAGTCAATGTCAAATATTGACCTAAACCCGATTTTCATTTTCAACCAAAATGCAACGTCTGTCTGACGTCATGTCCAACTGCCTGCTGGGTCAGTCCTGGAGGGCCGGTGTCCTGCAGAGTTTAACTCCAACCAGCTCCAAAACGCCTGCCTGGAAGTTTCTAGTATGCCTAGTTAGACCTTGATTAGCTGGTTCAAGTGTGTTTAACTGGGGCTGGAGCTAAACTCAGCAGGACACCGGCCCTCCAGTATTGAGTTTGATGACCTGTATCTTCTGCACATTTGAGCTCTTCCCAACAACGGCTATATGACGGTAAGAGCCATCTTTTACAAAAAGGTACAAAAGCTGTTCCTGGAGCGGCCTTTAGGAGTAAATAATGAGTTTCTGAGTTGATTGATGAAAGGTTTATCTGATCTGTTGTTTGTGGTATGTCTCATTCCTCCATGTCTTGCCCAGTGTAGTCTCTACAGCACACTTTTTTGTTATGTGTCTTGTCCAGAAGGTGGCGCCTCAGCCCTGCTAGTGTGTCCACATGATGGCGTTTCAGGAAAGTACAGTAATAGTTCTATCAGTTTTAGAAACAACACCTTACCACTACCGAAAAATATTAATGGGATGATCAGAGGACGCCACCTACTGGCTGAAAAACGAATTAAAAGCTTGATTGGTCACACCACGGCAGATAGTTATTATCCACTCTGTTCTAGCATTGTGCAGTTCAATAAATGAAACTCAAATGCTCTTAGATTCAGAAGATATATTAAACTCTTTAACATCAACAATTTTGGTTCATAGATAGATAGATAGATAGATAGCGTAAATTTACTTTCCCTTCAGCCTGAGGTTTATTCATTTCACTATGTGAATTGAACAAAATATAACTTTTTTATTTTAAAAACAAACAAGCAAGCCCTGTCCAGATTTAAAAAGTAACGCAAAAGTATCGTAACGCATTACTTTCCATAAAAAGTAACTAAGTAATTAGTTACTTTTTTTTGGAGTAACGCAATATTGTAATGCATTACTTTTAAAAGTAACTTTCCCCAACACTGTAGATGTGTGTATATAATTTTCAGTTTATTTACTTTGTTGTTAGTTAGTTAGTTACTTAGTTAATTAGTTTTAGTTTACTATAATGATCCTGCTTTAAATATGTTTTATTTTTACCACCTTTTTGGGTTCCTGAGTAACAAAATGCTCAGTGACACTCAAGAGACTGTCATTTCTGTATTTCACATTTCATAAATAGTCCAATCACTGTAATTTCACTGTAATAAATCTTTTTTAAATTTATTAAACCAAAAGATGAAAATATTAGATAAAAGCTGTTATTTTTCTCTTTGGACAGCAAAATTATGCCATGTCATCTGCCCTTTTTATTGTATTATATAAGCAGCTATATTTTATTCTATATTATAGTACCATATATAGTAGATTTTAATTAGCAGGGATCTGTTTCTCATTTCCTGCATGTCAAGTATATCTAGTGAAGGACCCCTGTGAGTCAGCAGACGTCAGCCGTTCCCCTCAGAGTCGCTATATTGATGCTCTCAGAAACCCCATTGCTTTCAATTAACCTTTTGCTTTAGACCACTGATGCAAATGCAAACAAGATGAGAGGATTTTTGAATGTTTCATCAAGGTTTGTTTGCAATAAAAAGCAATAAACCCGACTGGGCAGCTGGTAATGCTAAGTTCTATGGTAACGTCAAATATGACATGTTTTGGAAATTACACAATTAAACAAGTCTTTATTTTCTGTCTTAATTTGGTAGATGATACACAAAGGTAGTTATTTTGAGCTACTTTTAGTGCTAACTATGTTCATTTCTCTCTCTTTATCTCTTTGCCACTGCAGTCTATTTATGTATTTGTACTGCTTGCCTTTTTTGTTCTTGGTCTTTTAATAGTGCCATAAATTGTGTTTGTACAGACAGTCCTGAAGCTGCAGTGACCGAAAAGCAACATTTGAAAGGAGAGACTGTCACTTGAAGATTTCCTTCCACATTTGACCACTAAGAAAAATACATAAATAAACACAATAATAATCGAATGAAAATAAATGTAATGAAAAGTTTAATTAATTATTAATTTTCCAAATAAATAGTTATTATTATTATTATTATTATTATTATTATTGAGATACAACATTGGACCGCTAAGAAGAAATAAACTAAATAATAATTAAATAAAAAGGAATTTCCTCAAGGAAAACTGAATGAATAATGAGATAAATAAATATTATTTATTTAATTATTTATTGCTTACTTATCCATTCATTCATTCATTTTAGTGGTCAAATATTGAAATAAATAAATTCATAAATAAATTTAACTCAGTTATTCATTCGATTTTCCTTTTGAGCATTCCTTTTATTTAAATAAATAGTTCAGTCATGAAACTCTAGATGGCGCATTCTGACGGGGTGTTAACGTAACTGATTATATTCAGAGAGCTAAATGACTTCGCACAAGCTGATTGGTTCATGCTGCATATGCAGCCAATGAGCTTACTGCCTTGCATTTATATGGCTGGCTAGCATTCACTTGAGATTCCTACAGCGCGCTTTCAGAGTTTCTCTGAAACGCTCCACCTTCCCCAGCTCCACCTGTATAGATCTGCTACGGGGTTATTTTATATGCTATTTGTGCAGCAGCAGCAGCATGTCTTAAATACTCATGGCACCGTATTGCCATATGCATTGGCAGTAGCAAGTTCCTGTACTTGCTTGCAGCAGCAGCAATAGACTACTTGCTTGCAGCAGCAGCAATAAACTACAACTACAGCAATTACCAACAGCAGCAGCAATACAGCAGCAGCAATTTAGCAGCAGCAGCGTAGCAGATCTGTTCCGCCAAGACCAAATACATTAACATTGTCATATCCATCACCATGCTAAAATCTTCCGAGAGTTGTCATGATTGAATTATTATTTTGTTTATTTGTTCTTCGTGGTGAAATATTGAATGTCAATAATAATAATAATAATACACTCTTAACTTAAATAACACTTTGTAGAGCCATTAAACTCAATGAAAGTTTAAACTCATTTTCTGATATGTTTAAGCTGAGTAAACGTTTTTCTTTCTTGATTTGTATTTGAATATTTGCACAGGAAGTGAGGTAGAAAGCAGGAACAGGCTAGTGCAGAGGGATCCTGGAGCAGATGCTGAAACATCAGTAAAAGTGCAGTCAGCAGTGTTGCGTAACAGGACTCCTGCGGCCCGAGGGCTCTGTCAGACACATCAGAAGAGCCCCATACACAGTGAAATGCTCAACAAATGTATAATTAATCAAAATATGAATAAATAAAGGATGTCTAGGGCGCAGAACAAAAAAAGAAGAAGAGGAAACTGTCATTTAAAAGGTAAAACTTGATATATTCTGCCTTCTGCATTTCTTATTCACAAAATAATGCAATTTCAGTTTTCAGTTCTTTTGGAAGACAGTCTTGTTATTTTTTTAATGCCTGCTTAATTTCAGACCCTAGGTTTGTCCTCGTCTGAAACGTGAGGGCATCTTATCTCAGCTGACATGGGAAGAGAGTGCTGGTTTTGATACTGATAGAAGCTGAAGTTGGAGACATATAAGAGGCTTTGAGAGTCCCTCACGTGACAGAGGAATGTCACAGCTGCGTGAGCCGTGTTTGTATTAATTAATCAGCCCACAAAACCTCAAGTTCCCGCTCTTTTCAATTCCTCTCTCTTTACGAAAAAGGGCTTGAGTTCTAAAAGTCATACAGCACCTACAAGCTGATAAAAGTCCTTTTAAATTTTGAATATTAGATTATTTAAATGTTATATTCATGCCACAATTAGATTTTCCATAAGGTTACATTATTCATCACTCATGTGTTAGTTGTCAACCGATATCTTGCATTGCAAACAAGTCAGTCAAACTTAGACCTTTAGGGGCCGTTCACACAGAACATCTTTGCATTTAAAAACGTGAAAAGCAGGGCAGTGGAAGGAAAAAAATCACAAGGTTTCGAGATATCTTTTAAAAGCTGAAATCCCATGAAATGTAACTTTTGATTTATAATGCTGTGCCATGAGCAATACACTGCAAAAGACGTGAAAAGATCTAAAACCATCTAGCACATGTTTACATGTGTGAACAGCCCTTTAGAGAGTTCATTGGCTGTTAAACAATCAAAAGACTGTTAGTTCTAATACAAATTATGTGTATAGAATTTAAATTAATTCATATAACACACTTTGACACTTTCAAAACATTACTCTGTTTTTCTGATTAGCCAGCTTGAAGGCCTGTTGACGGCAAGATGAATGTTCGGAGGGAAAATTCAGTGATATAATCCACAAGTAATCCACACGACTCACAGTCCATCAGTTAACATCTTGTGAAGCAAAAAGCTGTGTTTGTAAGAAACAAATCTATCATTAGGGCATTTTAACTTCAAACTGTCGCTTCTAGACAAAATACGAGTTCATAATAATGCTTTCTCCAGTGAAAAAGTCCATCCCCTGTTGTCCTCTCATATCGCTATTTTGGACTGTAAACAGTTTGATCTGTGCATATTTCTCTCCTGATTCAGGCGAGACGACTTTTTCATTGGAGAAAACAATATTATGAATGGAGGACTCGTATTTTAGAAGGAAGAAAGCATCTGATTCTTTTGTTTCTTACAAACGCAGAGCTTTTCACTTCACAAGACATTAACTGATGGGCTGGAGTGGTGTGGATTATTGTGCTGTTTTTATCAGCTGTTTGAACTCTCATTCTGACGGCACCCATTCACTTCAGAGGAGCCATTGGCGAGCAAGTGATGTAATGCTGAATTTCTCCTAATCTGTTCGCACGAAGAAACAAACTCATCTACATCTTGGATGGTCTGAGGGTGAGTACATTTTCAGCAAATATACATTTTTGGGTGAACTATTTCTTTAAGAGCCTAAAAATATATACTCGGTGCACAGTGAGACATCACATCACAAATGAAAGATCAGTGCTTTTTATAGCTTTTTAAGAAAAGTTAAACAATAGGTACAAGACTGATTATTAGAATAACTTGTGTGGCTTATCAACAAAAAGATTTTAATACATATTTAACATCATGTATTTATTGAACAGACAGCTGGGACATAAGTTTATTATGATCGCAAAATACAATAAAATAGTTTAAAAATACATCCTTTAAGAATGGCATTTAACAGGCCCCTTCAAATGAATGTTTAAACAATCAATTCAGCAAGAAATGTTTTGAGAATAGAAGGGAATTAATTTTTTTTACAACGAAGCTGAATTTAGAAACATGAATTTATTTCTATTCTATAATCTAAATTCCCTCCCTTCAACTGCAGAAGCAGAGCAGTGGTGATAAAGTGGCAAAAATTATTATTTAACTGAAAGTTGAACATTTCTATGCCCAAACACGCACACAAACACACAGTTCTCTGCTTTAATGTGTGCCCTTGTCAAATACTTTCTTTGCCCCTAGGTGGACATATTATGCAGCTTCATTCCCAAATAGAAAGAGAGGCTTGCATGAAGATGATCCGAACTGACAACTTTGCTGAGAAGGGGCAACTATTTTTTTTCTTTTCCTTTTTGCAGGAGAAAGGGAGAAGGGAGATGGGAACAACCCACACTGACTCAACCTTCTGAGGTAGAGTAACATTAGCAGGGATGCTCTTTGATTTACAGTGTAAGAAAGAACAAACAGGATCAAGGCAGAATTTTTTGGGAGGTATTACACTCTATCATGCAATGTGCAATTTGTACATTTTGGAACAAACATTAGCAGCGATCTAAGGCACCCAGCAAACAATATCAAACTTGTTTTCATAAACATGACATGACAAGCACCAAATGACGGGTTATTGATATTGTAGTATGTACGCAACTATGTGAAACTAGGATTTTAATACAATAAACATTTATACATGTTCTCCTGACATGTTGCTTAGATTATATTTCCTATGTGCCAAAAGTAGCAACAACAAGCACATTTGACATTTCTAAGAAATGACAGGCCCACATGATCTATATGCAAAATGATTCCACTTTGGATTTCCAAATCTTGATTGGGAAGTGAGTTTAGATTAGAAAACAGCTATGATGACAGTTCAAGGTCATTAAAGGAAAAGCAGTGACCTTTTGATTAGTTGCTCTAAAATTGCAAATGCATACAATGTTAGAATAGAACAAGCCACTGATGTTTCCACCTTAAGTATAGTTTAATCAAATGAAATATCCAGTTTCTAAAAATCTGTGATGTTATATTAAGTATTTTGGATTTTAAAAGTGCAATTTTATGGGAACCCATTCATACGGCTTTACGTATGTAAATATAGAAAACTTTAAAGCTGATTCTAAAAAATGTCAATGATAATTTTAGTCAATCTTCAGATATCAACACCTTTAGATCTAATGTAATTATACAAGGTTGTAAAATGTTGTGTACTACTGACAAAAAATATATAATAAAAGCACTATTGCTGTTCAGTTACACTTTGCAACCCATTACTTCTGTAATATGGTGTATTTCCGAGTTAAAAGCATACATAATGAGAATATATATATATATATATATATATATATGATGGGTTATATCCATTGAAAATTGCTTGGATTTTGAAATTCCATAGTGGAAGTGGAAATCCGTAGCCGAATGGAGAATTCTTGGGATGTAGAGGCTGTAGGGTCTGTTCAAACTTAAAGGAATAGTTCACCCAAAAATGAAAATTGGCTGAAAATGTACTCACCCTCAGGCCATCCTGAATAAGTGCCATCAGAATGATCCACAAGTAATCCACACAACTGCATTCCATCAATTAACATCTTGTGAAGTGCAAAGCTCTCACATCAAAATTCACAGACATGTTTGTTACAGTCCAACTACTTTGGACTGTATTTACTTGTAAACAGAGCTTAATCTGTACATAATTCTCTCCTGATTCAGAGAAAAGACTCACATTTTAGCCTCAAGCAAAGGTTTGAAGTTAAAACATTAACTGATGGACTGGAGTGGCGTGGATTACTTGTGGATTATTGTGATGTTTTTATCAGCTGTTTGGACTCTCATTCTGACGGCACCCATTCACTGCAGAGGATCCATTGGTGAGCAAGTGATGGAATGATGCATTTCTCCAAATTTGTTCTGATGAAGAAACAAACTCATCTTGAATTGCCCCAGGGTGAGTAAATTTTCAGCAAATTTTCATTTTTGGGAGAATAATTCCTTTATGACATTATTATTTGCTATTATTGCTGTAAACTTTATTAATCAGCATTAAATTGCCTCATTCACTATTTGAAAGATGTTATAAAGACATTACCAACAATATTGGCCTAAAACAATGTTTGTTGTTGGTTTCATTTTTAAAAAATTGGCTTGGCTTGGCTTGGTTAAAATTATTTTAGAATTTTTAATCAAAGATTGCAAAAACAAACATTTTCGTCCTTTGGAATATCATGATGAATTGTGTACTATAAGACCAGGAGCATGTTTTAAAGGGGTCATATGATGTGATTTCAAGTTTTCCTTTCTCTTTGGAGTGTTACAAGCTGTTCGTGAATAGATAAGATCCCTAAAGTTGCAAAGACTAAAGTTACGCAAAGAAAGAAGGCGTAACTTTATTGTTAAAATAAAAAAAGCGAAAATACTTTGTTTGGTCTTCCAAAAGAGGACACAACTAGAAATCAGTGGTTAAGTTGTGTTTACAACACT